AATTTAAATGGTGCATTAGAAAATATTTAACATAAAAGAAGGTAGGAATAGAGGGATACAGGAATATAAAAGGCGTAAGATATAGTAAAATAGCAGATATAACTTTTACCTTGTCAGTACTTGTATCGAGTGAAAATGACTTAAGCACTCTGACTAAATAAGGTATTGGCAGAGCAGACTTACATGCAAAGGACCAAATAAATTGGATATAAGTGACAGAAATAAGACCTACTACACAAGCAATGATTAACAGGGAGTTGGAGTGACTATATTAATTTTAAAATATTAAATATTTTACTCAGCTATCACTGGGGCAAAAGAAAGATTTTTAAATGATAAAAGAGTCACCATGAAGCTATAACAATTACAAACTTAATATATTACTAATTAATAGAGCCAAAATATGTAAAGTATAAACATAAAAAGATCAGACAACTCAAAAATGTTATTTGGAGACTTCACTATCCAACTTTCAAAAATGCGTAACACAACTACAGGAAGACTAATGAGAATAGAATACTTGAACAGCATTTTAAACCAACCAGATCCTACAGACATCTAGAGAACACCCGACCACAACAGAACACATTCTTCTCAAGCACACACACAGTATTCTCTGTGACAGACCATGTGTTAGGGGGTAAAACAGGTCTCAATAAATTTAAAATGACTGTAGTCATACAAAGTATGTTTTTCAGCCACAATGGAATATTAGAAATTAACAACAGATGAGAATTTGACAAATTTACAAATACGTGAAATTCCTTGACACCTTCCTAAATAAAAACAGGTCAAAAGGAAATCACAAGGAATGTCCTTTGTGAGAAATCAGAAACACAATTATCGCAAAACTTCTAGACTGTACCTAAAGCAGCATTTCTTGAGTTATGCTGACCGAGAAGAAAAAAGATTCAAGTTTCTTCAACTTGCTACAATCTGGGATGAAATGAGAACATAACTAGCAGTTTTACAGAAAGTATTACAAGGGAATAGTAGGAACAACAACAAATCAGTAACTTAGATGCACTATTATCCTGATACAGAAAACAACAACATGCAAAAACAGACCAATATGAACATGAATGCAAGTATTCTCAACAACTGCAGAGCAAGTACTTAGCATGCATAAGATCCTGGGCTGGATCCCATGCAACACACACACACACACACACACACACACACACACACACACACACACTACTAGTAAAACCAGGAATATATACTAGCAGTGAATAATCCAAAAATAAAATTAATGAAAGAGTTCAACTTGCAGAATCATTTTAAAAATACTTAGGAATAAGCTGCGTGTGGTGGCACACACCTGTGATTCCAGCACTCTGGGAAGCTGAGACAGCCCCCTATCCCAAGTGTGAGCCCATCCTGGCAACTTGGCAACTCAGTGAGACTGACTCAAAAATAAAGAATAAGGGGCTGGGGATTTAGCTCAGCGGCAAAAGCACCTGCCTGGCAAGCACAAGGTCGTGAGTTCGGTTCCCGGTACCAGAGAAAAACCAAAAAAAAAAAAAAGGGCTGGGGATGCAGTTCAGTGTAATCTAATACCGCAATAAACGAATGAACAAATTTAAGAATAAATTTAGTAAGTATAGAACTTGTACACTGAAAACTATAAAATATCACTGAAAAAACTTAAAGACCAAATGGAAGAATATATGTGTGTGTGTATACATATGCATACGTATATACAAATATGTATAACATAATGTATGCATATGTATAATACATGTAATATATCCATACATATATCTTTTTGTAGGACTGAGGATTGAAGCCAGGGCCCTCATACTGAGGTACAGCATCAACCCTATTTAAGTTTTTTGTTTGAGACAAAAATCTCCCTGTGTCACCAAGTTGCTCAGTCTGGGCATGAACTTGTGATCCTTCCGCCTCAACCTCCCAGAATGCTGGGCTTACACCCCTGTGCCACCACGCCCAGCTCAAAGACTTAATATTGTTAAAACGCAGTGATACTTCCCAAACTCATTTATGATTTCAGTAAAATTCCTATCAAAATCCCAGGTGGGTTTTCTGGAGAACTTGACAAGACGATTCTAAAACTCACAGAAAAGAGAAGAGAAGAGAAGAGAAGAGAAGAGAAGAGAAGAGAAGAGAAGAGAAGAGAAAAAAGAAGAAAACCTCATATAGCAATGGTCAAAACAGCTACAGCACTCACACTTCTCAATTTCAAAACTTACTGTAAAACAGTAGTTTAGAATAATCAAGTACAAGTAATCAAGTACAGTGTGGTTTTGACATAAAGATAGACAAACAGATGAAAGGAACAGAATGAAGGTACACATATACATTTTATGGTCAATTAATTTTTAACAAGGGTGCCACAAAACTTCAATGGAAAAAATAATCTAAGAAATGGTGTGAGGATAAATGGATACCCATGCATAGAGGAATGAACTTGGGCCCCTATCTTATACCATCTAAAAAATTAATTCAAAATGGGTGAATGACTTAAAAATAAAAGCTAAAATTACAAAACTATTAGAAGAAAACAAGTATAAATTTCTGCGATGCTGAATTAGATAACAGTTGCTTATATATAACATCTAAAGCATAAGCAACCATATAAAGATAAATTGGATTTTATCACTTTAAAACTTTTGTACTTCAAAGCACACTATTAAGAAAGTGAAAAAATTCATAGAATGAGAAAAAATTGTAAACCCTATACCTAATAAGCACCTAGTATCGAGACTAAATGAAGAGCTTTTATAAGCCAACAATAAAAGCACCAATAACCCAATAACCTATTAAAAAATATAATGGAAGCTGAGCCTGGTGGGACAAGCTAGAGGAGCCAAAGCAGGAAGACTGCAAGTTCAAGCCTAGCCTGAACAACTTAGCAAGACCCTGTCTCAAAATAAATTTTTTAAAAAAGGGCTACAGATATAGCTCTGCATAAAGACCCTGGATTCAATTCTCTACACTGGAAAAAAAGAAAAGACAAATTGAGCAAACACTTCTCAAAGGATGATATATAAAAATGATCAGTAGAAACATGGAAAGATGGTCAATAGTATTAGTTCTTAGGAAAATCTAAATCAAAACCAAAATGAGGTACTATTTTTTACAATAAGAAAAGCATATAACAAGTGTTGACAAAGACACGCAGAAAACAGAATCCATATACATTGCTAGCACAAATACAGAATGGTGTGGAATGGAATAGAACAGTTTGGCAGTTCCTCAAAAAGTTAAACAGAGAGTTATCACGTGACCTAGCAGTTCTACTCATAGGTATAATCCCAAGGGAACGGATACAACAGATGTTCACACAACTTGTATACACATGTATGATGTAGTATTATTCATGACTGGGCATAAAGTGAAAACATCCCAAATGACCATCAGCTACTGAAAGAATAAGCAAACATTATATTTTATGCAATAGATATTACTGAGTGATAAAGTAGAATGAAGTATAACATGGATGATCCTTGGAAAGATCACACTAAGTGTAAGAAGCCAGACAGAGAGGCCACACATTGTAGGAGTTCGTTCATGTGACGTGTCCAGAACAGGTAAATATACAGAGGCAGAGAGGACAACAACGGTTTCCGGGGACTTACAACGGGTAAGAGCTTTCTTTCAGGAAATAGCAAATGTTTCAAAACTAGATAATGATGATGGTTGTACAACCTTAGGAATACACTAAAAACCACTAAGTTGTACATGGTAAAAGGGTGGATTTTATGGTCCTTGAATTGTGTCTTAATAAGAACATTTTAATGTAATTGAAAAATTGAAGACTTCAAAGTACGAATGATGAAAGTCTAAAAGAGTTAACCTGTTTTGCCTCTATGAATCTACTTTATCTAGATAATCTCCATAATTGTCATACTACCTCTATTAAGATTTTAAACTCTTGACATCTTCTAAAACTAATTCAGGAGGCCAGGGATATAGCTCAGTGGCACAGCGCCTGCCCAGCAAGCACAAGGTCCTGAGTTTGATTCCCGCTACCAAAAATTAAATAAATAAATAAAACTAATTTAGAATATATTATACACTTCTTATAGTTTCAAGGTATCAACGCCAATTCATTAAAAGTCTGACAGAAAATGAACTGACTGCTTTAGCAAGATGCTGAGAAAACCCACAGAGAACTGTGAACACGCATATGTGTATATGTATTAATGTTAAGTTTCAATGCGACAGACACTGAAAAACTTACTGAACAAGTAAAATTTAAAGACTGCTTAGCCGGGCATGACGGTGAATGCCTGTAATCCCAGCATTTGGGAGGCTGAGGCAGGGGGATCTTTGTGAGTTTGAGACCAGTCTGGGCTATGAAGTGAGCTCAAGGCCAGCCTGAACTGCACAGCGAGACCCTGCCTCAAAAAGACGAAAATAAATAAATAAAATAAAGACTGCTTAGATTTAAAATGTGCAAATCATAATGATGATCATTTTACTGACAGGATACCCAGAAGTCTTATTAGGACACAATAGTCAGTTCAAGAAAGAAGTACCAAAATAGAAATAAATGAAAAAGACTAAAGTCCAAAGAAAACAAAACACATCTTGGGTAAACAGCTGTGTTGAAAAACAATTTCTTATCTAGCAATTAAGAACTGATTTCTTTCTAAAAGACACAGGACATTGGGTTAATAGATTTCTTTAAAAGAAAATCTGTTTTGGCTATTGAAACATTAAAAGAACAGAACATCTGTTTTGCAAGTAAAGACAGATTGCATAGACGAATCAAATATCAAACCACCGATTAGACTAGCATTTAATCTGTTCTACTTAAATTTTCAATAAAAGTAAATGAAGTTACATTCTTGAAATTACAGCCTTGCTATAAATATTTAACACCAAGAACTCCTAACACCAAGAGGATTTCAGAGTATAAAGGAAGCAATTATTAGTAATTTTAATCATTTTATTCTATTTGATATCAAATCCAGGTTTAAAGGCAGACTCCTCCAGAATCATTTTCAAAATACTGCAAAAGGAACACTCACCATCCATGAATTCTGTACATATGGAAATTCTATTTTCTACGAAAAATGCTCCATAAAACCCTATGATATAAGATGAATCACACTGTAACAAAAATTAAAAAAGAAAAGTTAAAAGCCCGCAAGCCAACTTCACAGGCATGTTTTACAAGCAAAAAATGACCAAGACAAAAAAGTTACCTTGTAAAGAATCTCCAATTCAGACATAATTTGCTTCTGAAGTTCCAGTGTAATATCTAATAGTATAACCTAAATATAGAAAGACATTAACATAAAACATTTATCCACCTTCAAATGAAATACAGTTATAATCACTATGAAATGTAATAACCGAAAAACGCCGTTTTGTTTATGCGCCGCCCTTCCCCTCCCTCACTGTGCTCCCCAGGAACACAAACGGCGTCCACATCTGCCCGGGCCTTTGTATGGGGGAGGCCGTACAGGAGTGATTGATGGGACCCAGGAAAACGCCAGGCCGCAGGGGTCAGCAGTAATGGCCTTAAAAGTCAGTTAAGTTATAACACTGTTAATTTACGCACCCTATTTTAGCCATATTGGTTATTTTCAGAAGGGGAAGACACGAATGACCCTCAAACCATTAAAAAAGAATGTCATATAACTTAGACACTAGGTAATAAGCAGCCGGGATGGTGAGAACACTAAAATGGGGTTTTTAGTTATGCGAGAGGTAAGAGTTTTAAAAATATGTCATCTTTTTATTTTCCCCCGAGTGGGTAATGTTTCTTTGCTAATACTATTACAGACTTTGGTAGCTTGAAGGGACCTCATTCCGCCTAACCTCCTCATTCTGGGGAGGAAGTCACCAAGGCTGCTTGTCAGGGCTGGGTCCCCTCTGACTTGGGTCTCCGGCTCTTCCCAGCACTTCCGGATGCTCAGTGGTTTTTCTCAGAATATCAGCTACTAAGCTGGGCTTGTAACATAGAAATGTAAAGAATTTGCAAGCTTACACAGGATGGGTTTTAGCTTATTTCAAGCATCTATTTTTTTTTTTAAAGTGGATCAACTGTTCAAAATTTACTAAGCACTTCAGTGGAACCAACTCAAGGGAAACTTTTTTATTTTAAAAAACAGAGGAAATAGAACAACTGGAAGACAATTTTTAAGCATCGTAGCAGTTTCTGACTCTAGATATTTCTAGGTAAAACTTAACATTCAAGATTACAAGTGTAGCATCACACAACACTGATTTACATTTTGTATCACAAATAAAGAACACTGGAGAAAAACCATAAATCAGGAATTGTACACTGCTGATAGGGCAGGGGAAGAAAAGGACAATTTGAAAACACACGTTTTTAGTACTGACATCCATTTGAAGGAAGGGAAGGTTAAAGAAAAGCAGCAGCACCAGTTCCTATCAAGGGTTTGCTTTAGGGTTATTTACAAAAGCTCTCACTAAACTGGATTGTAAGTGTAATACAAAACTGCCAAGAAACATTTAAACACCTCTCTCGATCAATAGTCATTTGCCAACTGTATTCACTTACATTTTGTTCCTGTATAAAACTTAGCAACGAAATAAATTCATCTAATGGTCTTTCAATTCTAGGCCATAAAATACCGCTATGTCAAATACTGTGAATCTTCTACCCTGAAAAACTCTGCCCAAAGAAATGGAGTTATTATTGACTTGAAAGTAGTACTTCTCAACTCTGACCTTACAATTAGTTACCTGCAGTACTTTTAAAAATTGCCAGTGCGAAAACCTCGTCCCAGAACAATGGGTTGGCCCCACATCTTAGTATATATAAAGGCCCCTCCAAGGACTTTCTAACCAATAACAAGGTTAAGAACTATTTATCTAAGGTTTCAAAAATGCTATGTATGCTGCCTTAAGAAATGAGACTACTAAGACCTACTGGATCTCTGGGCAACCAACCTAGAAATGATGAGATTCCACACGATTAGCCAACACCTTGGAATTCACCCAAAACTACTGAGACCACAGCGTTCTCTTAATTGGGTTACCATGGCCTAGAATAAAGCTAAACTCTCCCATGCCCTTTAAGACATTCTCCCACACTGCAGCTCGACTCCTGACCCTAACCCCTTCTCCCACCTCAAACCCACTGCTCACGTGAGCCCACACGAGCGCTCCTGGCGGACACGTGCACCGTGGGCTATGCGCACTTCCCGTCCACAGAGCCCGGGTATAAAGCCTGTCTGACCAGTTGGGCCAGCGTGAAGGCCTCACCACCCGCATGAAGCCGACCCCAAGCCCTCCATCAGAATCCAGCTCAGTGCTGACCCTTTATATTCCTCCTGGAATTCATCCCTCGCTGCCTGAAAACTACAGGCTGAAAGAGTCAGAGGAAGCCCCGGATGGGCCAGGACTGAGTCTTACATATACTGTACTTCTATGTCCCTAGCACCCGGCACAAGGTTTTACTCACAGTAGTGCCCAGTGAGTGATGTGGAATTTAATTAAAGTGTTCCTGACCACCATGAGCTCTTGCGGCACACAAAGGAAATGGATTGTTTAATTTCTACAACTACATGTAAAAGAAAAGGCATAAATACCGTAACAAATAAAAGCGCCACACTAATCCAAAGTGGAACAAGGAACACTGTGTGTGGGGGGCTCATACACTGCACTCTCATTGGTCCTCATCATCCTTGGTATTTGCTATAGTCCAGAAAAGTGGAGATACCACAATGAGGAAAAGTGAGTAAAGTAATTTCTGGGAACTTGAGAGGGCAAGTACAATCTACTTCAAAATAACTCTACTCAAATGCTCTCTATTTCCTGGGAGGCTTGGCGCTCCGGGTGGAAGGTTAATTCCCCTTCCCCTGGGCGTTCTTGTGAGTGAGCTTTAAAGCTGCTAAAAATAAACAAGACCAGTTCTTTCTTCGAAGGCAATAGAGAAAAGCATAGCAAATGCTCATTTTCTTGTCCAAGTACAGGAAAGCATGGACTGCCCGAGTCTTCCGCTGTTTGTTTATTTTCTCCTCAGAAGCACTAAATGCTTTGAACTGCCAAGAATCTGAATATAAAGCCTTTCTGGAGAAAGGGTTAAGTGAGAGACTGAAATACCTGAGTGCGTTTCGCGGCTCTCCACTACACCTCCAGGACAAATAAGGATGAGTTGTCAAGTTAAATACAAGCAGTCAAGTGACTGAATTATAATTTACTCTGTGCTCAATTTAAATTAGTGTGAGGCTATTAAAATATACAGTATAAATACGGCAATTCATCACAAGCTGTCATGGATGACTTCATTTATTTGCTGGAGTGGCACACGCGCCACTAAAGGGAAGGAGAGCAAAATCACAGGTCAAATTAAGCCGCTATTCTGTTTTAATTCACTTATTTAATCTGTGGTGACATAATTGTCTTCTACAGTATGTACAACTCAGAAAGGAAATTTGGGAGGGTTACAGTCAGTACACAAATGATTAATCAAATGGTCCATTTAAATGCTAGTTTAAAAGGAGCAGAAACCCCAAAGCAGTCCAAGAATGACAATCAGCACATGCTGCAAGAAATTTCTTTTTAGATGGATTTTTCCCAGTTAGAAAACAAACAATACTGGGAAATCTATTAAATCCTCCAAGCATTACTATTGGAAAGATTTTATAGAATACATTAATGGTATAAAAAGGTTCTGTCTGCGTGATAGCTAACAGTTTTTTAAATTTGTTTTCTGCTCTACTTACTTGCAATTGTCTTGCCTACCTACACCAAACAAACAAGCAAACAAACAGCCACTTAGGAACACGTTTCAAGAGTTACACAGGGCACTATCAAACAGTTACCTTTAAAATGTGATTAGCATCATTTTCAAAATACTCTCTTTGAGGCAGAAATTTTTCCAAATTCTATGATAGAAGATAAAAATTCAAGGTACTTTTATTTTTTCCAAAACTCAGTTTCTTTTCAAAATACCTGAAATGACACTTCACTACTGAAGCCCAAAAAGGTGAAGAGTACTGTACATTTTTCTGCAAAACCAAGAACACTTAAAGACTCGTAAAAATTATAGCTCTTTTGAGTAGGAATGGAAAGTAACAGATTTTGAAGGACTCTCCACAAATTGTTTCCAAAGCCATTCAAAGTGTGGGTCCCGCTGACCACTGGGCTTGGGAAATTAGATTCCCCTCCTCATCCTACGCAGGCTCGGAGCCTGCAGCTGCTTCTGTGTGGACAAGGACTGTGATTTGCTGCTCCTTACAATCCTTCTGTGGCAGCCAGTTTCACAGCTGGGGTCACCGAGAGGTTCAAGTGACATGCTTGAAGTCACACGAAAGTCAGGGGAGGGTCAGGAAAAGATCAAATGTGCTTCTAACTCTTAACCTTCCATTTCCCCCATCTATATATATATAAAGAAAGAAATATTCTAGATGAGAGCAATGGCCCATACCAAAAACACTATGGGATATTTTGTTTGTGAGCTGAACCTGCTTTCAAGATGTTGCTTCAGAAGATAAATGAACTAAAGAACAAACAAAAGAAAAAAAATGCGTTCATTCAGCCAGTCAATCAACAAATTATGCGCTAAACACTTCCTCTTTATGTGTGGTGCTCTGTAAGAGGCCTTATATGTAAGGCTCTGAAGGAAAAAAATAAGATTTGTTCCCTGCTTACAAAGAGATTTCAGTCTAACAGGGGAAATGTATGTGTATATGAAATGTAAAATGCAGATCAGGGTGTGGTAACACCTTTAAGAGTCACATGCAGAGAACTTTATGAAGGTGAGTGATTGATACACCATACAGGATGGTATTCATCCAGAAATGTCCAGGGAAGAACAGGCCCCAGGAGGGTGGCAAGATTCAGAAGCTGGAGAGAAGGCTGAAGGTGCCCTAATCAGTAATCTGTGAATCCAAGTGTGGAAGTGGGATGGCACCAAGATAGGGCAACAAGTTCAAATTAAAGATCTGCACGTGGGAGACAAGGGTAGACTGCTCGACTGTCAGGATCTTGAGTTCTGTGGCCTAGAGATTAATTTAATGGTGGCAGTGGTGTAACACGGAGCTTTTGAAGACCTTGCAGAGGGGAAGAGATATGACCAGAATTATGCTCTTGGGAGACAAATCTGAAGGTGGTGAGCAACTAAGGCACAGGGGCAAAGAGCACTTGGATAGAGATCGCTTTGGTCTAAATCCCAGTCCCACTACTTACTGTGGGACCTTGGGCAAATTATCTAACTTTCTTATGACTCTGTTTTAATCAGTAATAGTAATCTCTTACTAGGGATCTGTTAAATAGGGATCAATCTTGGTAACAA